CTCATATTCAGCCAGACGCTGAAGCAAGGAATCTTTGAGCGTTTGAGGAAAGTGCGTGCCGCCACCAGAATCTTATTGCTTACTTGCTTTGCTGGGAGCTTACGAGGAAGCCGGTAGACGTTGTGCTGCCATGATAGCGGTCGCATCTGGCCTGATGTAGGTGGAGAAGCCGAAGAGGACCAGCGCCCCAGCCGTTGCAGAGGAAGAGTGGGGGAGCCCCAGCGAGGTCGCGCGCGTGGCAGCGCCTATCCTGAAGGAGTGGGCTGTATAGAGCTGGGGAGACAAATTGCAGAGGAGCAGTAGGGATCTTAGCTGAGCTCTGAACCAGGTTGCTGTTATGGGAAGGTTGACTGGAGTGAGAATTAGAGGTCCGTTAAAATCTCCTTTTTGCCGCGGAGGCGAGTGTAACGCATCATGGACCTGTAGGGGCAGAGAGATGTGTCGAAGCGAGCTATTATTGTGTTGCAGGCGCCTCTGATCTTTGAATGTTTGAGATGAAGGTTGAATGGTCAGGGGACATTATGTTGGGTGAGAAGAGCGACCTTTGTTTAATGCTTCCACTACGTCGAGATGATCACGCATGACAGAGATCCTCTTTCTCTGCCACGTGTGATTCCGCAGCGCGCAGGCCACGACCACTGGGAATGTCTCGTGTAGGGCAGAGGAATGCTCCGGGGAAAGTAGCGGGCCACGGCCGGCGAACCACTGGTCCTGGAAGAATCCCCCAAAAACCCATGGAAGGGGCAGCGTCCGTGTAGAAGCGGAGACCTGTAGGGGCAGAGAGACACACCGGAGAGGGCCATTGATGTTGCAGGCGCCTTTACGCTTAGAATCTTGGGTTGGAGAGTAGATAATTAGGCCAGTAGGATAGGACGGGAAGCCGTGTCTCGGACCGCATTGAAGGTTGAGTGAGCAGTGGTGAAACGCTTATGCAGAGAAGCCACAGAAGGCGAGCAGAAGATGCTGCGAGGAGGGCAGACATGTACTTGGAAGATGAGCCGGAGTTCAGCGCCGCTGCAGGATGGGCAGCATGATGGGGAGCCTGTGATCAGAAGAGTGAAGAACCAGGTATGGATGCCTTTGATTAGGAGTCCGATTGACGGCTCAGCGCAGCTACTTGGCCAGCTGCATCTGATAGAATCAGAAGATTCAGTAGAGAGATGAAGCACGACCGCCGAAGCGACCCTGGGAGCATAGGTGCGAGTCCGGCGCAGCGCGGCATACTCAGCCGGGCTGCATCCATTAGAAGCAGGATAAGCTTCTGAGAGAATGGGTTGCAGTAGCAGTAGCAGCAGCGGCAGCAGCAGTAGCCTCAGATAATAACAGCAAAAGTCCTGTATCAAGCCGCGGCAGCAGCAGTAGCAGCAGCAGCGTCCTTAGAAAATAACAGTAATAATTCTGTATCAAAGCCACAGCAGTAGAATGTTGTTGTAGCTGTTCAGGGTTTCAGTAAAAGAGATGCGAAGTGAAGAGAGATGGCAAAGTAAATGAAGCAGCAGCAGTAGCAGCAGTAGCCGTATGAAGCAGCAGCAGTAGCAGTATGAAGCAGCAGCAGCAGTAGCAGTATGAAGCAGCAGCAGCTGCAGCATCCGTCGATAATAGCAGCAATAATCCTGTATCAAAGCCAGAGCAGTAGAATATTGTTGTAGCCGTTTAGTGTTTCAGTAAAAGAGATGCGAAGTGAAGAGGGATGTCAAAGTACATGAAGCAGCAGCAGCAGCGCAGCAGTAGCAGCAGCAGTAACGGTAGCAGTATGAAGCAGCAGAAGCAGCATTAGCAGTAGCAGCAGTAGCAGTATGAAGCAGCAGCGGTTGCAGCATCCGTAGATAATAACAGCCATAATCCTGTATCAAAGCCAGAGCAGTAGAATATTGTTGTAGCTGTTTAGTGTTTCAGTAAAAGAGATGCGAAGTGAAGAGAGATGTCAAGTACATGAAGCAGCAGCAGCACGGCAGCAGATGCAGTATGAAGCAGCAGCGGCAGCAGTAGCAGCAGTAACGGTAGCAGCATGAAGCAGCAGCAGCAGCAGCGGTTGCAGCATCCGTAGATAATAACAGCAATAATCCTGTATCAAGCCACCGCAGTAGAATATAGTTGAAGCTGTTTAGTGTTTCAGTAAAAGAGATGCGCAGTGAAGAGAGGTGTCAAAGTAAAGAAGCAGCAGCAGCACGGCAGCAGATGCAGTATGAAGCAGCAGCGGCAGCAATAGCAGCAGTAGCGGCAGCAGAAACAGCAAGCAGCAGCAGCACAATGCAATTCATACGAACAACAGACGTGTCACGCCAGCGTGCGCCGCTTGTCTCCGTGAGCCAGGTTACGTACGTGTCTGAAGAGCCGAGCCGTAGAGATAGGTGCAGCCTGGGAGCCTGCGGAGCGGCAGCGGCAGGAAACGCAGCAGCGGCACATGTAGTAGTAGGAGCAGCAGGAGCAGGCAGCAGGGACAGGCAGCAGCAGGAATAGGCAGCAGCGGGATCAGGCATCAGTAGGAACGGCAGCAGGGACCGCAGCAGCGGCGGTCAGAGAACCATGCCCACGGTTGTTTAAGAGCATGCCAGGAGACTTGGGAAAGCAACGGGACAACGCGGCACCGCCAGTCGGAGGCAGGGACACGCACGGCACCGCCAGACCGTCTGCGCGCGGCAGCAGACCACGAGGAACGAGCAGCACAGAACCGCGGAGGGGCCCCGCGGAGCAGCCCGCAGAAGAGCCCGCAGAGGAGGAGAGCAGTGGAGACACGCGAACCACAGCAGGTGCAGGGACGCGGAGGAGGAGCAGACCACGAGCAGCCAGACTGAGGACAGCAGGGCCACGCGCACGAGCAACACGTGAGCAGAAGCGACCCCTCCAGAACAACGCATGCATTTGCGAACAGGTGCGTTAGCGACATGCACCTTGCAGGCTTCAGAAGCTTGCAGACTTCAGAAGATCGGGAAGTGGGCGTCTCCGGCTTTTAACTTGCTGTCCTGGTGGTTATTGGTTGACTGGGTGGGCGTTGCTGGTATTGATGAGTCGAGGAAGAGCAGCCTGTGGCCTGGCAGCAACAGCCGGGTCTACCACGGTGAACTTTCGCGAAAGCTCCATGACTGGTAAGTGATCACTGAGGGAGTCTATTGGGGTTTAACAGGTTCATTAATAAAGTCCCCACATATAATATATTTTTGTTTTTATTAATGAATATTTTTTCCATCCATTCTCTGAAAACTTTCAGGTCCGAGGCTGCTGTCTTTACAATAGCTTAAAATAATGGTTTTCTTTCTCGGCGTCCACTGCTAAAGAAATAGTTTATACAATTCTACAATTCACATATTTATCAAATGGCCATTTCTCCACCTCTCTTACATCGTCAGTTTTAACAAAACATTTCATAACCGTTCATTTCAAACTCATTACCTATGTATATGCACATGTATCAATGTTCCTGAAACTGATACTATATTACATGGGGATTTAAATGAATTCAAATAGTCTTTGACACCCTCAACATTGGAATATATGCTAGTCCTGCTATTAAAATTCACTAAAGAAATATTCTTATCTTGAATGAATTTATTGTAACGTGACATCAGTAAAATATAAACAGCCATTGCTACTATTTGTATGAATTGATCAATTTCAGTCATAAATGTTTGTGTTTTATAGTTTATACAATCAGAGAAATGTATCAATGGTTCAAAGTTGTGAGGATTTATGCTCAACTCCTCATTCTCAATCCAACACACATTTGGTGTTATTTTGTAGACATCTCTGCTCATAGCTTGTAGGCGTTTCATTGATTCTGGAGGGTGGAAAGTACTTGTGTTTGAGAGAGAGAGAGAGAGATAGAGAGAGAGGCCAGGATAAAGTATTTATCGTTTTGCTTTCACTTCACAGTTGTCTTACTATGTCGTTGTATTTACCAAAAATCAAAAATAAAATGTTTGTGATGTATGTTTCTGATAATACACCTGAGTGTGTATTATTATTAAAGTGCACAGTTTAAATTGTATTCATACTTTTGCCTCTAAAAATGAAATATCCTCAGATCCTGACAATTTTCTATCAATAATACATTGAAAAGAATAGCCCCCAACACCACATCATAGTCAAGGTGATGACTCGCTCAGGCGGACCGAAGGTTTGTGGCCTTCACTCAATGGTGCCTTTGTGGGGCATTTATGTTAGTTTAATATTCATAATATTCAGTCTTATTGTAAACCCTCAGATCTCAATTCATTTGTGCTCCACATTCTCCCCTACAGAGACTCCTTACACGGATATATAAGATTCTGTTCAAATCATTTCCTGCCGAACAGCTCACCTCTCAGCGCTTTTAAGCCTAGGCAACTGGGCTTTGAGGTTTAAACAGGATAATTACATTCTAAGTTGTATAATATCCACTGATTTCTGAGATTGGCTGAGATTTTCCGTATTAGATTATTTATTTTATGCATATAATATCTTTATTTGTGGAATAAAATATTATATGCATCTATATTACACAACTTTTTGACAACTTTATTTTTAAAGTTGAAAAAATGGTGAAACAAGTCTCAAAGCCATCAGGTCAGCCCTATCCGTATGTTACCCCCAGAAAAAAGGTTTTGTTTTGTTACTGGCTGTGACAGCAGACAGTATTTTACAGGGAATACTTTTGTTTTAAAAGGCAGAATCCTGAATTGACAGTGGTGCAATGTCATACTATTACAGGACTGAGACAAGAGCTTGTAGACAGGAGGACGGAGTTACATGTTTGTGCTAGAAGTTCCTGTTATTATCTCAATCTATTATTAGTTCTATTATTATTCTATTATTAGTTCTATTATTATTATTCTCAATATTGTAAAGTTGATTTTGAAGAATTTCTCACCGTAAAAACCTATAAGAAAGATATCTTTAAAGCAGTTTAATACACTATACTGACTATAGCATGGCATGTACTGTACTCCTGCCTTCATTGTGGCTGACAGCATCTTACTGCAATGTAATCTCAAACAAGAATAATAGAAAAGCCTGCAACTTACTTTGTTGTTTTAATCAACGGACTGCTTCCCAAACGAAATGTCGGCAGGTTTTCCCACAGTGTGCCCTTTCTCTGAAGAAACGTTTCTGTCAAATCAAATCCTGGAGAAAAAGCAATTATTGTCAAAGTGAATTCCCATTTTGTTATAATCTGTTTGCTGCCTGCTTACATACCTGTAATCTGTAATGGCCGATCCAAAACGTCGGAAAATCTGTGATCCTGAACACTCAAAAGAGGACATGTGCCATCTGGCCAAAAGAGAAAGTTTATGATTAAAAAGACTTCTTAAATATTGGGGCCTGCCCCATGAGGATTTTGAAACTATTACTAATGTTGAGGGATTCTGATGATCATGTACAACATACAAACAGTAAAACTCACTATTCTCTTATGTTAGATCTGCCAATATCACTTGGACAAAGGTTTTTTTTTTTTTTACAGATAATAATTGGTATTTATAACTCTACAGCTGCATTTTATTCATTTAACAAGAAATCAAATGGGGATGTCTATGTCAGTACACTTAGAAAATGACGTTCCCAAATCCAAAACCTGTTCAGCATAAGTACTACTTTATATAGCGCTTTACAATTGCTGTGGGCATTTGTCTCTCATTCCACACAGAGATGGGAGCAGAGTTGCCACACAGAAAGCACATGCCAGACCTATTGCACTTATTTTTTGTGGTAGGGGAAACCAGAGCACCCTGAGGAAACCTACGCAATCACAGGGAGAACATGGACACTCCATACAGAAAGGTCTGGTGCCTCACAGGACCTTGTTGCTGTGAGGCACAAGTGCTAATCAACTCGGAGCTTTAAATTGAGGTGTAACAAAGAAAAAGTTTGTTAAAATGTGTTTGTTGGCTGAGAGGGGGCAGTAACTTCCATTAATAAAAATGACCGGGAATATCGGGAGAAATAAAAAGCCAATCAATAAATTGGTCTGTTACTAACGTTCTTTCTCATGTTTTTAGTTGATCAACATTTGTGTTGAAACCTTTTACCGCTTACCATGATGACAAAACTTCAATAATTGCGACCCCGCTCCCATCTCTGTGTGGCGTGAGAGACAAATGCCCAAAAATAACAATTGTAAACCGCTTTGTGACTCTGGTCTGTGAAAGGCGGTATATAAATAAACATTACTTACTTACTTACTTAATAAGACTTAACATTACTTACTTACTCAGCAAGGTTTTTAAGTAATTGCAGATATAGCAGTAAACATAGAATCATGGGTAGTACTTACTATTATTGATCACTGCTCACATAAATATTGTTTTTAAACCATTATGCACCGTTACTATTGTCCTTAATGTCCTCCCTCAAAGTCTAAATGATAACCAAATTGCCACAGTCTGCTCACAATGTCCAATGTTAAAACCATAAATGGAATGAAATATGTTCCATTAAATGCAACTTTCACTGTCAGATAAATCAAGTGAGCTTTCTAAATCTTTAAACTGATGTGGCTAAAATGTTAAAAATGTGGGAAGTGGTCCAACCTAATGGATCATCTTCTTGACACATCTTTATCTCTGTTTTGTCTCCCATAAAATAGAGATAAAGATTAACATCACACATACTGTAGCCACAGCAGAGCATTTCAATGGTACCCGGCACTTTGGACAAGCATAAATAAATACCTGCTTGCTCATTCACTGCCATCCCAAATGTGCAAGGAATGGAATTTAGAGTCCAGAGAAAAGCCGTCCATGTTAGCAAGCGAATCATGTCTCTGTCACTCGAAAGCAGGCCTCTCCAAAACCTGTGTGCAAATAGATTGTTTTACATTTCAATCGCATTCAATGACCTTCTACAGAATACAACACATTGAGGTGCACTGCTTTCACATACTAAACGAGAATTAGCAGCGAGAACCAAGAATTCTGTTCACACTTGTATGTTTGGACCCCTTTAGTGTGTCCTTTTTTGTTGTTTCTTTTGTGCCTGTTACGTCTAGTCTTTTTTTGTATATAGTCAAGTCGATTTGTATTGTTTAGTTGTTCCATGAATCAAAAGTGAACATAAAACATCCTATTTCAATAACTAATTGGATTGGAAAGAAATCCCTCGCTAGATTGTCCCAGAAGCATAGGTGTAGGCTACAAATCTTTATCAGCAGCTTGAATCTATTTAAACATTATTCCAGCTTTTACATCTCTTGTGCTAAATGCGACGTCACGTATGGTTAAGCCCTTTTCAATGCACACGTAATCCTCAGACATGTATTTCTTTAGTAACACCTGCAGCTTGGTGATGAAAAAAGAACTGTTTAAATTGTACCTCTGTTTAAACAACCAAGACTTATTATTGTTCAGCATAACTCTACAGGTATGCATGCATCCAAAACTCCCAGCGCCCTGTCCAAATACAATTGTTTCATGGTACTATTAGATAAAGGTACATACCGTGTAGTCATGTCTTATGCCTGACTTCAAAATGTTTTCACAGTAGCAGTATATCCCTTGCTATTATAGAGCTATAGAGTTGTATTGAAGGTGGGTTGAGAGTGATTTGCAGCTTGTTTTGGCCCAAAGGCAACACATGCAAAGACTGAACCAGGGACCTTCCAGTTGCAAATCAGACCCAAGAATAATTTGGCTACGTAGTCAAGCACTGGGTTTGAATGAGAAGAGAGAATAACACATTTTTTCATACTATCAATAACAGAAAAGGCTGTTGTTTACTACTACTGTAACTGGCACTTTTATTAAGCTGCTGATACTCCCATAATATATAGGTCTATCTAATATCCAAATGATATGAATTTATTTAAACACATGTAACTGCAGAAGAGTACAATATGCTTACACTACGTGATAAAGTACAAACCTGGGTTCTTTGGTGAATATATCAAGTTAATTTACGATCAATCTATCAAATTGTAAGCTACAATATTTTATGGCACTCTCTTTCTCTTGTATCACCACTCAACTCAGTCCAAAGCTTCAGCAGCCAATTCCCATATTGTGCCTCTTACCCCTGAGACCATAAACTTTCCAATATCTCGGAGTGGCCGAACGTGGCTCTTTGCAACAACTCAAAGCACGCACAAGGTCTCAGCCGTGGAGCCGCACTACAGCGCTATCACGTTCCTGGTCTGTGAGGAGGTGAAATGTTATATTCCTGTTATTTCTCTAAATGAATGCACTTCACGCAGCTCAAGACGACCCCCCGGCGCTGGTTTGCGTTGACTCATTTCCATCGAGGACTTATGAGGATCTTCAGCAAAACATGTTGAATTTAAAGTTTTTGAGGTTTTTTTAGAATAAGGACGAGTAAAGCACATGCATCCAGCTTCCTTTTTTTTTTTTTTCTTCCTATGACTTTACATTGTTCAAAAACGCGAGATTACGTGAGCGCGCTTGCTGATTGGCTGATTGTCTGTCATTCTTTATTGGAATTTACAGGGAATATACACTTATTAGCATGCATTTTCGAGTGCCTTGTAAACAATAAAGCAACGCGTTATTTGAGTTCAATTAAACAATATAATGTAGATAGCCTTTATAATATGAACCAATCACATAAAACACGTGCTCATACAGAGAAACTTTTAAGAACCATGGCGTGTGTAAAAGTACTAAGCCTATCTTAACAGTATAAAGCTTTAGGTTACTGTCCCGTTAAATGAATGCGTGTACTTACACTCGCAGGCAAAGTTTCCTCTAGGACAGTGGAGATAAAAACATTGCGAAAAAATCATAATCCATAAGTGGCCGCGGCGATCGTGTGTGGATCCGAATTCCTAGAGTTGGAGATAAAAGTCAGTGTTGGATTTCTGCTAGATAGCGGTCTTTATTAGCTGCACGCAGTGGCCCTCCCACTCTGTCATTATCACTGAAATGCACTGCCACAGAAGACTTGAGCAAACACGAGCTGCGCGCACTGGGAGCGTCGGCAGCATGGGAGTACATGCCCAATGAGACTTCACAGCAACTCCTCAAAGGCTTTCCGAGGCGCCCAGGTGTGCTATTCAAAACCATTTCACTTTTTTTTATTATCGTGGAATCAAAATGAATCAACTCTTAGCTTTATTCACTTTGATTTGCCCAGCTGCTTTAATTAAACATTTGCAATTTATTGTAAAGGCGGTAATAATAAATCTATAAACGATACACTCAGAGGCTGAAATATCAATGACACCTGCATGACTTCAAACAGTGTACAGCCAAAGTATCATACCACCGTTTACTATTTTGGACTGCAATGTCATGTGGTAATGCTGCTGCCCTACTAAGAAGTGAACAACATTCAGTTTCTTCAAGGCCAATTACTGTGCATATTCTGAACCATAATTATACTTCTTAAACTTTTAATTTGGGGTTTTTTCACTTTACTCTAAATTAAACGTTAAAAGATTTGTTAGACTTTATATCAGTGTATAGACACTTGGCTCCACACACTAACAAAAAGGATTTAGACTGATGATAATATACTTCTCCATGTACCCCCCACTGAAGACAGGTAAGAGAAACAAAATGAAGAAAGAGCATTAATGACCATCAGTTTCAGGTTTCAAGTGTTCTAGCCTGTCGATTGATTTCAAAGTTGTTTAACTTTATAAGTGTTTTTCCCTCAATGCATTTGGTTGATTAAATAAATAATTACATGCCTACAGTATTCAGAAATTAATTTGTCAGGTTGCATATTGCAAAGAGTATTCTTTTCTTGATCGAGTACAGAAAGGACTTTTTTGGAGTTGGATCAGCCTGTAATTATTTGCCTTGGAGGTTAATATAAGGTTAGTGAAATCAACAAGAACGCTTGTGCCATTAGCACATTATTGTATGTACTTCTTATCAACACTGTCTGTGTAATACCCCAATATCAAAGTAATATCCTGTTTTCACCCTGCCTATTATGATATTATGAAGAGATTTAGTTGTAAGAATGCATTTTTGTACTGGTGGGAGCAGTCTCAGCAGAGACATACTTCCTAATCCTACTCGTCCGTGGGTATCCAGAGGTGTTCCCAGGCCAGCTGAGAGGCAAACTCCATCCAATGATTTCAATCATTGTACTTTTACCAGAGTAGATATTTATAGTGGCTCTATTTTAAATAGTGGATCCTATCTGTTTTAAGTAACTGTACTTTTGCATAAGTATGTATTAAGATTTGTACTCCTGCCTCTCCTGGACAGGTCTAAACAAAGGGCCTCTGACACTGCATTCCCGGAGAACCGCTTGAATAACACCCCTGGAAAGACAAATAATTCACAACAGTAGCTATCTCGGAGGACTTTACAAAACTTGTCAAATTTGCCAACACAGATACGAGAATCAAACAGTTCAAACACAAGATATGCAATGTTAAAAAAACATATAGAGCCATTGGTCCAAAAGGGGCAGATAACCAAAGTCAATAATGTGACCATGTTGAAAACAGTTATATTTAGCATGTGCATACAACTGAGGGATTTTATATTTAATCGTTTTGGTGATGAAATTGTGCTATATAGATAAACTTGCCTTGCATTGCCATAAATATTGATACACGTCAGTACATGTTGTTGAATGCGGAATACAATGTAAGTAATAGCTTGAGTTTCTCTGGCTCGACTAATGGGAAAGAAACGATTGATAGCAGATCAATGGAAGCCCCCTTACTCACTGTCCCACATCATTGTATTGGAGCTATGATGCACATCCACAAAGCTCGTGGGCGCCCGGGTTGAACACTGAACCGCTTGGCTGTGTCTGTGCGGGGTGCCTCTCCTACGTGTGTTTTCTGTGTCCAGGCTCTGATGGCAGGAGCTGGAAACTTGACACAATGCTTGAAGCTAAACAAATAATTACTATAAACTACAATATTTCATGCAGGGATTCAACAAATCACTGAGCACACACTCCCACAGCAGCAGGAAAACAACATTGTTGAAGTGGAGGATTACTGGATAGATAGGGCATGACCAGTGGCTGACGCTGGTCAGGGCCTGAGCTTCACTAAACTAGTGCAGCTAATTTCTAATGAACGCACCTCAAAACAATGTGAAGCACATTTATTGCCTAAATGGGGCTTTTTGGTTTGATGTACACAATTTTTTTTTGTCTTCTTTGGGTGGTTGACCTCGAATTGTGTGTATTTGTGTTTTTATTTGTGCTCTGTAAAAAACTGTTTGAGTTGTTTGATCTAAAGGTGATTGTGGAACACACTCCACATTTTGTGTAATGTAATTATAGGTTTGTCTGGTTTTCATTTTTTTTTTACTCAAAAATAAAAACCAGACAAACAAGTGTATTCAAATTTATATTAAGTGTCTTGTGGAACACTTGAGCTTTTTGTATATTTAGCCTTTTGACAAAAGCTGCCTTATTAATGTCGGTTTGCTTTTAGGACTTTTCAAAATGTAGAATTGAAGTGCAGAGGCCAGACAGATGGTCACACTGTTGCTTACCCAGAATTTGCATATATATCTTAGCTTGTAATATATATATATATATATATATATATATATATATATATATATATATATATATATATATATATATATAATGTCTGTATTTTATGTCAATTTGCCTTTCAATGTGTTCATATTTTTATATTATAACCAAACCTACAGTGTACTGCCACCACAAGTAATGTCGCATTGTGAAGACAGATAGAGAACATGATACTTTATACTAAGTATCCAAGTATTCACAAGTATTCACAAGTATTCATTAAATGTGTCACTATGTGATTTGGTCGCTCTCTTTCTCAGTTAATGTTAATGCAAAGCTGCCGAGTCACTATTGCTGATGTCTATTGTGATCTATACATGTTCCCATCATTTGTTCTGTTTCCAAATACATAAAAGCATCTGCGGTTTTATTATTGAGGTTTGAATCTCTCTGTTTGCACAGTTCAGAAGCCAAACCATTAACACTGTTTGTTTACTTCACACAAAGCAGACTAATCACTGTAGTCTCTAAATCATAGCATTGAAGCCATTGTTGTGACTGGCTTTAAGTGAAGAACACCTGTCATTTGAGCGTATCATTTACAAAATGCTAAACAAAGGCTCGCTGTGGGTTACTCATCCCTGAACAGACTTTTGTGCCCCATTAAGGAGCGTAAACAAAACCCATTCATAGTCTATGAATGCTCACCTGGACCTGAATGCAACTACTTTATTCCCTCTAGTAAAATATTGAATAAAGCATTAGAGAAATAAAGATTAAAGATTAAAGAATGAAACAATGACATCAATAAAAGTCCCTGAGGCCCGCAGGTCTAGTTTTGAGGCCAATTGACACGTACGTCATTGAGTTGAGCAATTTTGGAAATTTGGAAGATTTTTCCAGGTAATTGGTGAATCCTTGTAAATGGTTTTATGATTATAATTAATTATTTGACATTCCGTATAAAACAATACAAAAGATAAGATTTCCAAAAATTTAACAATACAATAATGTCAATCTTAACACAATCTTTGCCAATGTGACAAACACTAAGCTCCTGTTTTTAAGGCACAAGCTTATTTCTCACTTGACGAGTAATAGGAAAAATACAACACATTTTTCTTTCCCTTTGTCAAAACCTGTTCTCACCAGGGAGGCGTCCAGGAGGCATCCGGAACAGATGCCCAATCCACCTGAACTGGTTCCTCTCAACATGAAGAAGCAGCGGCTCTATTCCGAGCTCCTCCCGCGTGACTGAGCTCCTCACCCTATCTCCAAGGGAACGTCCAGACACTCTGCGGAGGAAGCTCATTTTGATCACTTGTATCCGCTGGTCCGCCTGTCAATCACACGCTCCATCCGTCCCTCCCCATGAACTGCCACCTTAACGCGTTGAAGGAGTTTAGGCACTTGGATGTTTTTGTACTGTAACTTGTCTATAGTTACCTCTCGCTTGTAACCATGTGTTTTCCATTGCTGTGCCTGGAAACTTGTACTGTATGGTATGACATTAACTTAAAGTCGAACATGTCTTGTCTAGTAATATAAGAATTGTCATTTCCTATTTCTGAAACAAGCATCATTATCCAAAATAAGTTTAATTGTATTTTGGTTGAAAACACATACAGATCCTCGTAGACTCGTAGTCATTCAAGAGCCAATATTCCCCATAAATGAAATGGACACAAAGCACTCAGAGGAGAGGAAACAGCGCAAAAAATGAAAGCACAGCAAATTCTTTAAATAGAGACACCATGGGGCTTGAATGCAAGATAAATTTCAGAGCAAAAGGAATGGGGAGCGTGCCTGGGACCTCCTGAAACCCCCTCTGTCTTGAAAACCCCAGTGCTTACATTGCACTTCACATTAAGTTTCAGGAGGTTTATATAAATCCGCTGCTGTATAATCCCATAGCTGAAAGTCAGTTGGGCCATATTTGTTGTATTGCCGTTCTAGCCGAAAAGTGTCAGAAAGGAAAGATAATAAGATTTCATTATCCAGTGCTTCCCAAAGTGGGGTCCAGTCCCCCAGGGCCTCAGGGGCACTGCCAGGGGGCCTCTAGTTTACAGCAATAGCAGGATATACGTTTAACTTTTTTAAAGTAAAAAATTATATTATGTTTGTTTTTGTATTTTTGATCTAAAGTTAAAAGGAAACCACATAGGTTGGTGGGTTTACTACGCCAGGGATGAACAGGTGATAACGTGTGTCATGTGCGACATCACAAGACGCTTCTGAGGAAAAGGAAAGTTTGTTTTGTTTATCTTTCAATTGTCTGGTATAAGAACCAACTAAATGTATTCTTCAGGAAAGTTATTCAAAACGCTCTGGACTTTGGGAAGCAGTGTATTATCCTATACCATTGACTGTAAAAAAAATCATTTTATACCCATGGCATGGCCAAAAAACAAAATTATCTTTTTCCCCATTTAGATTAACAAATGGGCAGCAACACATCAAAGAAATACACCTCAAATCCCCCATACCACAATGACAGAAGTGAATACACATACTGTAGCACATAAATAATTACTGACTTTTTGGGTCAATAAGAAGGGTCAGAATAACCAGAAATACATTTTGCATGCAGAGGGAATACTTTGGATGTCTGTGCTGCTACTGTAACTGATCATGAGAGTAAACGTTGTAATCTGCGTCTCACTTGGGACTCAAGCTACAGGTGCAGTACTAGATTTGTCACTGGCCTACTTCTATTTTTCCAGTGAGCATAAGGCTAATGATTCAGAGGAGGATTCATAATATATTGAACAACACTAAGTACTCAATAGGGATGCCAAAAAGAGACTGACAATGCATCATTATTAACTAGCCTACTACAACTCTACACTACTTACACAGAGGCCTGGGTTCAGAGCTGCTCTTCCACAACCACAAGTTTCTAGCGAAGTCCTCAGATTAAAACTGTGTGTCCCTCGCTTGAAATCTAAAATAATATACACGCAAAAATCTGATCTTGTCCGACACAAGAACTTGATAAAAGTTCAGATAGACAAAAATGGTTCTAAAATAGGATTGTTAAATGTGGTGTATTGAACATCAGATCAATATCATCTAAATCGCTTCAAATAAACAAACTAATTAAAGACAACAACCTGCTTTTACTTGCACGCTCTGAGACATGGCTCCAAGAAGAGGACTATGTCAGACTGAATGAGTGCACTCCTCTGATGCATGTGAACTACCAGAGCTACAGGTTGCTGGGGCGATGTTGCAATCATATCGCACCTCAACTTACTTCTAAATCCTAAAATCCACTTTCAATCACCTGTCCTGGGTGGAGAAAACAAAAAGCAGCATTATTTAAAGTTTTATACCAACCTCCTGGTCCCTACAGTGAGTTTCCAACAGAATTGGCTGACTTAATTTCAAACCTAGTTTTGGAATGGAAAAATATAGTTATAACTGGAGACTTAAACATACATGTGGATGACAGCATCGACAATCCAAAAAAAGTCAATCTAAATCACGGGTCTCCAACATTTTTTATTGGAGAGCTACTTTTGCACAACAGAAATGGTAGGAAGCTATTTTTGCTGACATAATAGAACGGTAGTCTATGTAATAACAGCAGATAATCAACACAACACAACACACCCTAGATAAGGGAACATAATGCAAACATGTATAGTTAAATAGATATGAGGTGACCCAAAATGTAAAAAATTTTAAAATCCCCAATCCTTTGGCGAGCTACAGATTGAAGACCACTGTTCTAAATTCTTTATTACATGCCTTTTATTAGCAAAGACTAATATCAATTGTTTTCTCTAAGTCTTCACAATGTTTTGACACTTTTTTGTTTTTTATTTTGGCCCACTCTTCTTCTGGAACAGTGATGCTTTGGGGCTGTCGCTGGGTGGATATGACTTTTATGCACAAACATTTCAAACAATAAACCAGAGAAAAAAACATACTTTTTACATTCAACGCCAGATTTTATGCTTGAATTGAGCTTTTTGGCCTGAAACACCTGCAAAGTACATAGTCTATAGCAAGCATGTCAAACTCAGGCCCGTGGCCCAAATCCGGCCCGCAAGACTATTTTTAGTGGCCCCTTACATGATTTTTAACGATGAATAGTAACTTGCAACATGGATGGTAATGGACGACCATAGCATGTTATACATCATTTATTTTTCTCAGATAAACAAACATGTTTTATTTACTCTAAACTTTGAACCCAAAGCATCATTAGAACATCATTAGAGGGATATATAACAGTATATATTACTTTATATCTGGTCCAGTTTTGGTTAAATGCAAATAATAAATACATATAAATAAAAGTTATGTCAAAATACCTTCATAATGTAAAAAAACAATTCTAATGTTTTCTTTTGACCCTGAGAAGCTCAAATTTGCTGTTGCTCGACCACTGATTGCCTCCTTTGTGTCTTCAAAATCTTATGGACTGCCTCTTCGCAGCTCCACTGCTGCTTACTACAGATGAACAAGGACTATGAATGGCCGGGCAAAACAACTCAGTTATCTTCAATGATCATTTACCGTCTTTATTGCGTGTCAAAATTGTACCAACTCACACACCCGACTATGGCCCATGGATCTATGGTCCCATTCCCGCAAACGTCATGTGTGTGTCACGTGGTTTTGTTGTTACAGGAAGTAAAGATGGCGGCTCAAACACTGCTGACCGAATCTGTGCTCGGGTGGTCTATATTCACTATTATTCTCTTGGTAAGCCATGTCAAACTCGCTTCTATAAACTGTGACGCTACGGACGATACGTGCATAGTTTTCTCTGTGTCTGAAAAGGCTTGTCTGTGTTTGTCGCGGTCTGTTGTGGCTAATATTAGCCTGCTTTAATCGGTTTAGCTAGCGTTGACAGACGCAATCTGTGGATTCTTCAGAGTATCTTTTATGCTATTTTACATGATGTGTAAAATCGTGATCCTGTAAAACAGCGCAAATGCAAAAACATGGTGTATGTCCGCTCAATTAATGTTACTGTATTAACTTAATTGCTGGCTTTTCTCTCACAAATGGCTCTCCTAAATGATTTGGTTTACTCGTTCGAGTTTGAAACTATTATTATATGACATCCATGGTTTGAAAATATTAAGTTCCGCATGGCTTTACACACATGGCTTTAGAACGTGATTGTACCAATGGTTAAAGTCAAGTATAGTTTCACTTGTATGAGCCAGATGTATTCTTCTTGTCAAATAAATCACTCACACTTCATTATTAGAACGAATATAAAATAATGGCTATATATAATATGATATATCTATCCAAAGGTCGTAATTGCGTGTTGTGAAAAATGTTTTCATAACAGGGTTTGAGCGTGAATAATTATTGGCATTGCATGATATGCATTGAATACATGTATAAATACATGTAAACTGACTAATAGGCAGAATGGGTATTTAGTAGTGACTCTTTTGAGATACTCCTCAAAAGAGTACATTCAGTGCAGACATCTATATCACAACAATACGACAATTGTCGTATCTCACCCTGACATGAGAATTTGTTCAATCCCCTACCTGGATAACACTGATAATTCCACCTTGAAGCTTGATTTAAACTGAAAAAGAGAGAAGCAGTTTTGTTTCCAAAATGATTTAATTTAACTTCACCACCATATATCTTTTATGCTATTATCAATTAAATTGCTGTTATCAATTTAATGCAAGGCAATTATAATTGTATAAGGAGCCTCAAAGTGCTGAAAAAAAAAAGATAAAGACAGTCACACAAAGAATTCAAATGACAGTACATTAAAAAGAGTAAAGATAAAATCCCTCAGTTGTATGCACAGCTAAACAGAACAGTTTTTAACCTGAATTTGAACATTGTCACAAAAGAGGCCAGTCTCACATTTTCAGTAAGGAAGTAAGTAAGTAAGTAATGTTTCTTTATACAGCGCATTTTTACAGACCAAGGTCACCCAAAGCGCTTTACAATTGTTCAGAGTTCAGTTAGTTTTTCCATTCTCTCCACACAAAGTGATGATGGAGGCGAGGCTTCGAACAAACTAGCGCATCAAAGCCCCCACTCAGAAGGGCCCTGTTCCGATTAGGATTCGAACCCAGGACCTTATTGCTGAGAAGCGAGAGTGCTATCCACTCAGCCACTGTGCCGCCTAATTATTTTGTTCCACATTTTAGCTACGTTATTCTGAAATGCAGCCTCCCCATGTTAGTTCTGACTGTGCACCAGCAAGAGGCCAGTCCCTGTGCTCCTCCCTGAGTTGGTTCATATCATGGCACTAAAATGTCACTTATACTTTGGTGAAAGGCTTTATACATTTAAACTTTTCTACTTGCTCCGGAAATACTTGTCCTGTGTGCAAGTAGGTATGAGACAAAAGGTCAATCTGTCTTCTTAAATATACAGACTTCTAGGAATTTCATAAGCGCATTTGATGAAGTTGAGCTATGGAATGCTTGTGACCACATGCCACTATTCTCTATCTGAAGATGAAGTGCAACGTTTACTGCACTGAAATTTTAACCTTTTGTTTTTTATACATCTAGGTAATCCTGGCTTTTTGTTGGGTCTACATCCGTAAATTTCAGAGTCGTCAGGAGAGCGAGGCTGTTTCAACAATCACAGCAATATGCGCCCTGGCTGTTGCCTTGATTTCTTCAGCACTTCTTCCAGTGGATATATTCCTTGTATCATTCATGAAATATCCCAATGGTACATATAAGGTTAGTATTTCTCTAAAGTTAAATCTATTTGGGAGATGCAAACAAAATGCTTTTCCCACAGCACCCTTTAGCTTGTTTTCAATGCAATTACGGTGTCTTAATCTGGCCTACCAGCTAAATGCATGTCTATACTCATCACTTCTTGCCAAGTTATTGCATTTGTTACTCTCTAAAGATGTTGTAAAGTGGCACAGGCACAATGAGCTGGAGGTAATTTATGGGTTCCATTTAGCTTGATATGGTCGTCTGATTGCTATTTGGCTCTGGCTTTATATATAGTGTTTTGACAGAATCCACCTCAATAGACTAAACTTTGTAGAAGCGCTCACTTCTCTTACTGCAGCTTGTGGCTGCACAGACGTATTTCAATTATATAATGTTAAAGTAATAAAACAAATGGATGTGAAACCATAAAGCAAGACTTTTGTTATGATAGTGGGAATAATGGCAGAATGCTGAAAGCAGACTTGATGGTTTAGTTTTTTCTTCTCCTTCTCATTTTTGATGTTTGTATGGCACTGATATCCAGGTGTGTGTAATGTACTTGCTGTGACTTGTACTTGTCCTGCTGCAGGATAGCATCAGCATTAGATGGTTTTTTGTTAATCCATTTATAGTGCTATTGTGTCACATAATTCACTCTTTGAGGCTTTTCTTTGTTATTTGCACTTCTACATAGTGTTTTTAGTAGGGATGTGGCTTTTATGATGAGCCCTTTTGGAGTTCTGTCACTGACTGTGTTTATATGGCAAGAGAATATGGAGGAGGGAACACCAATGTGTTGGTTTTCAAATGACTGGTAAATCAGAAGGTACATTATGAAGTCTTGCAAGACATGGGTATCCTGCTGAGATTTGCATCTGGCAGCCTTATCTCAATATCTGTTTTTTATTAATTAAATAGGGGCTATCCCCAATGGGTAGATTTCCACACCTTAATCGCATTGCCTGGTTTTACGTGCCTTTTTAAATTGGACATGTAAACACACTTACTGTAGTTAAATTTTCCTTTTATGTACTAACTTCTATTATATTTCAGCACATAACAATTAAAACTGCAAAATAAAGTAAGAGATAATACAATCCTTTTGCATTTCTACCTATCTGATGATGCTTAATACCGACTCCAGTAGTAGTAGGGTGTTCTGATCCTGATCATTGATTGCATGTGATTGTATGGCAAGAAACTGCATATTTTTCAGAACCTACAGTATATTCTGATTCTTCCGCATGCTCGAAGGAGGATTTATCAATGCAGATGGTTTAATCTTTCTGTGTGCTGTATGGCCTGATGGGGGCATGATAAGACATGATAATGTGGCATGATAAGATTTTTGAAATGCGACAACTGACAGCGTTTCTGATGGGCTGATTCCTCTACCTGCGCTCCGCTTCAATCTGCTGCGCCACGGCTGCAGCCAAACCTCAATGCCCACTGTCTCCGCTGATCTCCCTGGGTGCAGTGAAGTGCAAGAGTGAAAGGACTTTCATTCATTAATGAGGAGTTGCATTTGCCGCAGCGGATTGGAGCAAAGCATGGGCAGGGGAATTCGGGGTTGAGGCTCATTTTGATTTGGTCCTGGTGACATAAAGGGACTGTATGTACTATGAGTGGTCTAATAAAGTATTTACATCTACAATCCAACTTTTGTTGCCAGAATCTAATACTCATGTCACACAGCTTCTAAGCACTGATTAATTTGATTTTGTATCTTGTTTAATGTTTTATAGTTTCATTTTGCATAGTATTTGAAATACTACTGTGACTACTGCAAATCACCTGTTGGGCTTATGTTTATCTATAGTAAACAGTCTGTGTATTACTTTATTATTATGTTTTCATCTGCATTTAAACAACTGTGTGGTGCTATTGTTTTGTTGGTGTGATGACATGTGCATTGTGTTTTTAGTTAAGAATAACTCATCTTTACATTGTATCTGGGGACAAATAAAATTGTAATTTGTGTTTCCTGTAATTGAAATGTACATTTCAATTACAGGAAATTGTCATTAAGAGAAAATATTTATTTTACGCTCAAGCTTAATTCATTGTATGTACTACTTGGTCATGCTTTTTCAAAATCCTTGTGTAGAGGAGATTGGTCCAACTGTCCCTGAAACACAAAATTCGTAGACCTTCAGATGTTTCAATGTGCATGAGTGAAGGGTCCATGGTTTTCTAGTAGGTATAATTGTCTCTGCTGCAGATATGTTTTTTAAGACAAGATAGACTTTATTGACCTCACACAGGCGAAATTTACATGTCACATCTGGCATGAATTGAATCACTCAAGATTGTGCAAAAGACCAAGTTCTATGTCATCCCAGAGCTCTGATTTGAGCTTTGAATAACTCTCCAAGGCATATTTCAAGCTTTTCTCTAAACTCTTCTGGTCTTCAGGTGTTTAAATGCTTATATTTCAGATTGGGCCTGCTAACTCTTTGAAGCAGTGGTCACATATTTACAGCCTACCATTTTCTTTGTTTTCATGCCCACCAATCCTTAGTGAATGTGCACCAAAATAAACATATTGTATAGTGCTCTGTTTAAATGACGGCGGAAAATAATTTGTTCATTAGTCTATTAACTGATAATTAAAGTTATATTTATTTATTTATTTATTTATGTTCAAATGCAGAAGGGTCTATCGGATCGAGCCTATTGCTTCTCAGTTCTCCATCCGAGGAGAGGAAAACCAAATCACAGATTGCAGAGCTGGAAACCCAAGTATCCATAATAGTTACTGCTGCAGCAGGTAGCATCAGCGCCTGGAGACGGGACACATCTCCAGATGTTGATGCTCGGCTTAGTCAGGACTACCAGTGATAAAGTATATTTCCTGTGATGCATGTTTTGGATGGTTGGGGAAACCGGAGACTGAAAACTCCACACAAATATGAAACCCTCAGATTAAAAATCCAGGATCAGGAATGGAAGTGTGCTGGGTGTACCAGTATGGTCTTTTACTTTTTTGCTTTTCTTTTATAGGAATGGGCTGCAGATAATGTGACCAGGGCCAACATTGAGGATTCTGTACTTTATGGGTATTACAGTAAGTACTTTTCTTTTTCTATGTATTTCAGACCACTAATAGTTAGGGTCTAAAATTTGTAGACCAGCATGTTCTCTTTTCAACCTTTTTGACATTTTGCAAACAGCCATCTTATATTGCTGACTTAAAAAATGTTTAGCATTAAACATTGCACAATACATTTCATACACACAACATATTTCATTATTTCAGTGTGAAACAAAAGATAAGAGGCAAAATTATCGTGTTAACGCACGTTAATTAATTGTTTTCATTAATCGGGTAAAAAAAATTAATGCTTTTAACGCATGTGCCAAATGACTGGCACCCCGCGCGTGACTGCGGGGGAATTGCTGTGAATGGGAGTCCGCAGCATTCTGGGGCAGCTGCGGCCACTTTGGACAGCGGTTCCTGCGTCCAGCAGCTGTGAGAGGCTTTCAACAACACGGGTACATGGCCATGTTACGGCTGCATGCTCCTAAGACCATATAAACAGGACCATACTATGCTTGTTGTGTGCGTGACCAGTGCACACAATAAATACAGCGCTGCAATAAAACAGTCCGTCTCCCCCTAGTCTTCTCCCGAAGCGCAACGAAACCAGCTAAATTAAAGCTGGGGTACCTAACTTTTCCTTTGCACTACCATTTCATGTTGGTTGTGCCCAAAAGTAAAATGTTGTGGGCAAATCAAACAGAGTTAATGACAGCCATTGGCTGACATGCATTTCAGACTTTTTTCAAATGTCCCATTCTCATCCCTGTAACAAACAATAGTTTGTAGAGGCACAATAATGGTGAGAATCCACAGCCTTTATGAGACAGAGAAAAAGAAGAAAGAGGAGGCTTTAGCAGATGCGGAATAAGTCGTGCTGAACAAATAGTGTCTACTAAGACAGAATGTTAAAGGTCCTATATTACTCTTTTCTTCATGTTTCACTGTCAATCCTATACACATGTGTGATAATAATGTGTGTGATACACCACACAACACTCAAAACTTGTGAGATTAGAGCCATCTCTTGTCTAGAGGTGACGTCACCTCAACTCAAATGAGCTGATCCAGAGAGCAGTCTGCTCCTCTGCCTCGGTGAGCCCACCTCCCCCTGCTCGCACAGTGACGTAGCATCACGCTCTGAGTTGTTTTATCGCTTATTTCTGTATATAATGTAAATACTTTGGTTTTTGTCTTTGTCATTTTATGTATCAATGTGTATCAATGTATATATGTATATTTGTCTTTTTGTAAATAAAAAAATTAATAAAAATAAACAAAACACCGGTACATAGTCATTTCAGACATAAGAATACACTTTTTCCAACAATGACAATCCGTCACATTGAGCACTATTTCCTCGATGCACAATCAGACCCTAATGATTTAGTTTACAGAAGTATACGGCAAGTTAGCATCACTGTACTTACAGATGGGGGGTCCGTGTTAGGTCTTTTATCGTGGGAATAACACATCTTTCCAGATCAGCTTTTGCGTAAGTCCAGTTCCATTGTCCCTGTAGTTCTGGAACAGTCTCAGTGAAGTGATGAACCCGCAGAAGAACCCGTTATTATAATAGATCCATGAGATGAACACATGAAAAATGTCCAGCCGCTTTCTTCCTCTTCGGGCCAAATAGTGCGTCCATATTTACAACCAAAACACATGTTATCCAAGTTGACGTGATCCTAACACTTATAGTTGCTGACAAAAACAGACAAACAGCAGCTCTATGTGGTGTCCGCGGGACCAAACCACAGACGCCGGACTCGGGAGCTGGACTCGGGAGCCGGACTCGGGAGCCGAACTCGGGAGCTGGCTGCGGGAGCTGGCTGCGGGAGCTGGCTGCGCGCTCTGATTCGCTGTTTAGATCTGTCAATCATCTCCCCACGGTATACTTTTTAAACTTGAATTCCCAAAGGGCCGGCTTTTACTATTATTTCTATTTTTATTATTTTTGACAACAAATGGCATACTTATTGTTTACCACGGATTGTTTAATTACGGATTATAATAGAACTTGTATGTAGTAATAAGCATTTTTATGAACTCATTAGAAAAAAAATTGGGTATAGCTACTTTAATTTAGCGAGTGCACGTCGGGAGACGACACGACACTGGGGCTCCATAGTCCAGCTTCTGAGCTGTATTTTTTGTGTGCACGGGTTACGCAAAGACACGCACACAACAAGCAGAGAATAGTTTTGTGCGTGGTCTTGGATATGACGTCACAGCGGCGCCGTTTGCCGTGATCACAGACGCTGGAGGAACTGCTGTCCAGAGCGCCCGCAGCTCAGCTTGCAGAGTTGCCCCACGGTATACTTTTTAAACTTGAATTCCCAAAGGGCCGGCTTTTACTATTATTTCTATTTTTATTATTTTTGACAACAAATGGCATACTTATTGTTTACCACGTTTTGACAAAAGTTTTTAAAAATCATTTTAAATACAAAGCAAACGGGCGTATGCACGTCATATTCGTCATCAGAGTGGTAATCGTCACTGAAGTGGACCCGAGCGTTCCACTGCCTCTCGAGGGTGAAGGAGAAAGATCGCTCTCTTTCTAAAGATTGACAGAATCAATGAATAAACTACTCTGAGCATGTGTATGAAGGCCAAATAGCATACATAGCATCTCTGCTTTATGTTTAAAGCAGAGAAAAGTCGAAAAAATCGTAATATGGGCCCTTAATGTTAATGCCATTTTATGTGGATTTATTGTTGTTATAAACAAATACAGAACATTTGAATAATGTCATTTATCTTTCCATTCAAACAACCATTTACGAAAAATAAAAGTATATAAACTAGCCGATAGTTCAAAATGTGATTTAATTACGATTAATTAATTTTTAAGCTGTAATTAACTCGATAATTTTTTTTTATTGTTTGACAGCCCTTGTTTTCTGACAACATATTTCAAAATTTAAATTGTGGCAAACAGATTCTTGCTTCTTAACGTTTGTTTCACACTGAAATAATAGATTTTGTATTATCTATTATGTACTATTAGTATTAGAAATTCTTATTTACTGTTTTTAATATTTTTAGGGTTGTCAAACGATTAAATCGAGTTAATTACAGCTTAAAAAATAGTTAATCGCAATTAATGGCGTTTCAAACTATCGGCAAAATTTTGCCACATTTTTCTGTAAATGGTTGTTTGAATGGAAAGATAAATGACAGCATAGTGTACATATTTACTGTATTTGTTTATTATACAATAAATCCATATAAAATGGCATTAACATTATTAACATTCTGTCTTTCTGTAGTGACTAGGACCAAAACTTTTGTTTGTTACAGATGAGGGACATTTCAAAACAGTCTGAAATGCAGGATGTCATTAAATCTGTTTGATTTGCTCACACCATTACTTTTTGGGCACAACCAACATGAACTGGTAGTGGAAGGGAAAATTAGGTACCCCAGCTTTAAAGGAGCTATACCCGTTTCTGCAAGGTTTGAATGTTTAGCACCCCCTCCCAACTCGCTCAGAGGCTTTTCATTTGCACTACACGGAGCCATCTAGTTGTATTTGCAATCCGATGCTAACATTAGCATTAGCGCAACTTAAGCTGTAAAACAATCACTGATGAAATGGTACAAAAGCAACGTACTGCTAACAAAATATATAAGTAAAAAAATACCGCTAGTTTCGTCCGAATTTATTAATTTAAACATTAGAATACATTCAAATATTGAATTATAATTTATTATACAGCTCCCCACAGCAGCAGTATAATGCTCCATTGTAATGTAATGTGATGTAATTTCAAAACGTTATACCGATCATTTTTTCTTGATAACAGAACTCTCAAACCAATAATGACCGCTGCCCTTTGGCAACGCAATCTCTGTTTGTAATTCAGGTGTGTAAAATACTAACATTACTCTGCAAGTACAACGAGCTTTCAGCGCCTGTTACTACTTCTGTCTGTGCAGAGAAGCTAGTGGAGCTAGCCGAGCTAGCTACTCTCAATAAACAAATACATATCAATCAATCAACACCATTAAATGTTAATCGGACAATACGTTATACATATACATCCTTAACACACATGCACGGAGGTTTTCAGAATTATCTGTTTTGTGCGTGGTCTTGGATATGACGTCACAGCGGCGCCGTTTGCCGTGATCACAGACGCTGGAGGAACTGCTGTCCAGAGCGCCCGCAGCTCAGCTTGCAGAGTTGCCCCACGGTATACTTTTTAAACTTGAATTCCCAAAGGGCCTTCCTGCTCTGTCGCCATCTCACACACGCACGTGTGCACGGCATTCTGAGTGTTATTTTGGGATGCATGGGCATGCGTCAATTGCGTTAATTGACGCGATTAATGAAAAAAATTAACGTGCGTTAACGCAATAATTTTGACAGCCCTAAATATTCTATAACTATATGAAAGGAGTTAATCCTTTCACTGAATCCATGACAAAAGGTATAATTTTCATGTTTATCACAAAGTAAAATAATGTATTGCCCAAAACCTGGAGGAGAACATGTTTTACACATTGCAACCACAACACTCTCAGAAACACGAAATGGCAAATTAAATGTCTTTTCAGTGGCTCATTTTTTGGTTACTTTTATCTTTATATTTAAATTATACTTCTTATAACTTGGTTATATAATTCATTATACATGCAAAGAAAAACACTGCCGGTATTTTTTAAATGTTTTCAAATTTTAATAAACTGTCCCACATTACATGAAAAAGAACCAGATCATAAAAAATAAGATTAGAACAAAAATGAGCAGAAATGTTATCTTTTGCAATCAAGTTCATTCCCCGCAGTAAATACTCTCGGCATTCAGACTATACATCGAGGAAAAGCTGTACATGATATGAATAATAAATATTTACTGCAGGAATGATGCCAAGGCTGTGTGTGTGTTCTGGGGATTGAATGGAAAGGCTTAAAAGACGCTGTTGTTTGCCTCGAGCCTGGATCACATGATCATAGCCCCGAGACAGTAGGTTCACCATGATCTGCATTCTCTCTGGTAGCCTTTAGCAGCTAGAAAC